ATTCTGAGTGAGTCAAACATGTTCTTTGTTGTGTCTCTGTTGGAGATCTTTTCATATTCAGCATACGAGATGGCGCTGAGAAGGATGGTTCTGGCCTTGTGGTGATTCTTGAAGTCACGCTTTTGTTGGTCAGACATTGTTTTCCTATCAATCTTCTGACCGCTTGCATTCACAGGATGCGTGTATCCATCTGTCACCATGTCCCACAGATCAACATCATGTGCTAGAAAGAAGCTTTCAATTCTGTCTTTCCAGTAATCAAAATTTTCTCCATCAAAGACTGGAGGTTTGCCGCTGAATCTGTCTCTGTCCTCATGGTTGTCATTGCTGGTGTGAGAATAATTTCCTGCCATTGTGTTTTTCTGACGCTGGATCTTGTACTGACACGGTTAAGTGTTTTAGCTCAGAACCAGGCGCTCTGATGCCAATTGAAGAAGTGAAAAAACACAAGAAGGGGGGGGGGGGGGTTGAATTGTAAAACTGAAAATCAATGCAATGAACACGATATTTTTATCCTGGTTCGTTTGATCTCAAACTACTCCAGTCCACCCGTCAAGGTGATTTCGCCTCTCTCCAACGAGGTCTTAATCCACTATATTCAACTGAATATTACAATCTGCTTTAACAACTGCTAAAGCCTTCTTGATGCAAACCACAACCCGGTTTGTCAAGGAAACACTTTCTTACAAAGAAGAGAAATAGGTGTGTGAATGTTTTCTACAAAACAGTTTATCACAACTGTGATATTACACAACTTAAGCTTATTGAAACTAGATTGCTAAAGATAATTGAGTAAGGAATTATGGAGCTTTTTAGCAAACTGAGAATGAGAAGATGATGAATAGCTTTTAGGCGTGTAATATGATGTAGAGCATTAGCCAATTCAATCTTCATTGTGTTGTTTATATAGCACTGAATTTTTTGAACGTTGGAGCAATAATCTTGATTCAATGCCAATAACAAACTTTCCTTATTGAGCAGATCTTGTCTGGAATGATGCCGTTGGTAATAATTCGCTTTGAATGCACAGTACCGTTGCTACTTAAAGCGTGTTCTGGCTTTGGCTCATTCTGACTCTGCTTAAGTGCTGATGAACTGTTGTTGTCTTTATCAGAGTGTTGAGCGCAATTCTGTTCATCAAGCTTCAGCATACGCGTGAGTTGTTCTTCTGATTCTGGTATTTTGATATAGCAACTTCTGATGCTGATGTTGATAACCAATATTCTGATGCTGATTGTGATGTACTCTTGCTGATACCTATCAGAGTTTCTGCAAAACAGAAAGTAATATTTTAGGTAGCAAATAGTTCTTACATGAATCACATAATTAATATATCTTTTCATTTTGTTATCATCAAAACTTAAACTTAGGGTAGTAGATTCAAACTTTGTTCTAACAACAGGGGTTACAGCAACAGGACAAGGGCTTGGATAGTTTTGATATTATGTGAATGAAGTGTTTCAAAGGTTAAAAGGCAAAACGCACGAGCCAAAATGAAGTTGGAAAGGATTTTGCAGAAGTTGGAAGTTTTGGGCAGAAAAATGAGGTTTTTGTATTTGGGAGAGTTTCAGATGTTGTGCCTTCGTGTTCTAGCTTGTGATAAGTTTGTGAAGTTGTATATAATAATGCCAAGTCCACCCTTTATCAGATGTACAAGTTCCCTACCTTTTGGCCACTTTTCTTATTTTTGAAGAAAGGTTGAAGTGACCATGCTAACAGGCATGTACATGGCTATCTTGTGATATGAAAGGGTTGGTATACTTTGCTTGTGATCTATGGAAAATGCCTGTACTCAAGGAACAAGTCCAAGGCTCAAGGCTGATAAAGTTGGAAAAGCTTGCTTTATCAAAATGGCATTGTGCCCTTTATGCCATTTATGGATTTATTCCTTGTACAATGCTTCAAAAGCCAAAACAAAGTCATTATCCACTGAGTTAGCATTTAATTATGTAGTGTAGAAAGGGTTTAGGACCTTTAATTCAAGGTACAAGCATGCTTGATCAGATTTGCAACTTGGTGCATTGTGAAAATGGCTTGAACAAAAGTGACAAAATGCCATTTTCTCTTCTTCGATTCTCCCTAACCATAAATGATCTTGGAGAGCTTTTGGACATTTTGGAAAGCTTACAACATTCTCTACAATCCATATTTGAAATGAATTTTGATATACCTCTTGGAACTAGGTGAAAAATGCCCATGAAGATGGGTAAAAAACCTGCCTAAATTAGGGCAAATTTTCACTAAGTCTTTTAGTTCATGGACCCCTATTCACAAATTCATAACTTGAGATCCAAGCATCTTTTGGGAAAACTTTGTGAATCAAAGTTGTATATTTCATGGAGTACTACAATTTTCATGTTGGAAGTTTTCTTTGAATCCAATTTCATCATGGTGAAAAAGTTGTGAAAAGTTGGGAAAAAATAAGAAAATTTCCATACTTAGAAAAATTCTAAGTTATGAAAAAATTTCAAATTAAAACCCTAATTTGAAAAATTAGTTTTCTTGATCAACAAGTTTCATATTTTGATATATCTTGATGAATTATGACCCTTGGCACTTGATTTTGACCAAAAAGTCAAAGTTTGACTTTTCAGTGTACAGTTGACTTTTGATCAGTTGACTGCAAAATTCATATGTCAATCCTATGTACTTGAGATCTTTTGAACCATGTAATTAGGTCAAGATGATGCCATTGAGTCCTTGAAATCATGTTTGAACCCAATTGGTCATTGGCTAGGTTAAAAATCAGAAATTGCCCTTTCTCAGTCAAAACCCTAATTTTGACCATTTTGCCCTTTTGATGATTTGATCAAATTTTTTGAGGAGTTGTGATCCAAACTTGATCAAATGGTACATATGAGTCTAAAATGTTATTGTGGATCAAAAATTATGAAGTTTGACTATAAACTGGCCATAGTTGACTTTTTCCCCAATACAACTGATTTTTAGGTCAACTGTCCAATTGACTGGGCAAAAATGTGATTCAAGGCTTGAAACTTGGTATGAGCAATCTTAGGGGTCCAAGATGGTTTATGAACACATGAATCATTGATGGTCCAAAAATCCTTGTGCAAACTCAAACCCTAATTTCCGGTTATCAGTGCAATGGGATGTCTTGAGCTGAGCAAACCCTAATCTTGTCTTGAGTCCAAGAAGTCTTGTGAGGAAACTCTTGATAATATGAGAGGGAAAATTTTGGGATACAACAGTAACCAATTTGAGAGCCTTTCAATATAGACCTTTATTACTTTGGATAGATTCCACAAATATCTTCATTCGAAATAACATGTTTAAGAAAATTCGCCTCTTCAAATCATGACCTACATCTCGACATCCTAGAATATATTTTATTCCCTTTCGAAACCGTAATTTGAATCACGACATTCAAAGTTTCCTTTTTCTGTCATCAGACTAAATCAAAATGCCCTCAATAACCACCAAAACAAATTTATCCAATTATTCAAAATAACTTCACTGAGTTCCAAAAGTTGTCTTCTAAATTATCCTCATCCCAATCTGAAAGTAACTCAACCTCAATTAGATTATACTGAAGACATATTTGCCTACCAGATAATCCATTAAATCATCAATCATTTGAAGTGGATGTGTAACCTTAACCACTACTTTAATTAATTATCGGTAATCCACATACAATTTTGTACTACTTTCTTTCTTCTTAACTAATGACATCAAAGCTCCCAAAATGATACACTTGGTTTTACAAATCTATTTCTCCGCACATCTTCGAATAACTTCTCCAATTCTCCCAACTTTGAACTGAAATCATGTATGGTGCCATAGGGACAAGTCTGGTACCAAGAACTAGATCCACAACAAAATCCTCCTCACATCCAACCTCTTCACGTGACAAATAAATTACTTACAGGTGTTGGAACCATTTTTAAAATAAAATTCATCACGTTAGCTTTCTAGTGCTTCAAACGGAACTCAAATCGGATGTCTAAAACTCAAGTTATGAAATTTTTTCAAAGAATTACAAAATATTGTCAACTCAACGGTAACAGGTTACCCTAATAGCGGTAATCGATTACACCCCTCAAAACAGCCAAAAATGCTATTTTTTCCAACCTATTTGGTGAAGTAATACACCACCACTATTAAGTACTTGAGTTGACCAGGGATATCATGAACATATCTATAATATTTAACCCTCGCTGCAAGAAATGCCAATGTGATGTCAACATGTGTAACTTTGTGGACGGTGCACTAAATATTTCCCTATGTAGCTGGCATTGGTCACATTTCTTCAAGTATTTCCTCGCGTCTTAGACCATGGTCGGCCTGTAATAACCTACTCTTAAAAAAAAATTCTCCAACACCCTGGTCCAGATGTGCTTCTTGACTATCCCTTCATGTAAGAGAGTGTTTGTGACTTCCTTCTACGCCAGACATCTTAACAAAGTTGGTAAATATTTCCGTTTTATATAAATTTCCTTCAACCATGATATATGAATTAGGGGTGTTCATTGGTTCGGGAAAATCCAAACCAAACCGAAATCCAAACCAAACCAAACTATTTGGATCAAATATTTTTTTAGTTCGGAAAAAAACCAAACAAAACCAATAAAACTTGATGTTAATTGGTTCGGGCATCAGATTTCTAACTTACTATCCCTAAGCTCAATCCAAACCAATAAAAGTCAATATAATTAATTCATATATTAATTCATATATTAAGTTATTAATTTTTATTAAATTATAAGTTATTTGAATGACTAACACTAGTACCACCACATTGAAAAAAATAAAGAAAATAATGAAGAGTCTTAGTACCATCATGTACCAAATTAGTACCAAGTACCTACAATAAATAATGAAAACCAAGAGTCCGAACATTTATCAATAAAATATGGAACGACAGTCCGTGATTTGCACCAACAAAGGGTCCATATCTGTACAGACATGGAAATAGACTTCCACCGGAGCCTCCACCATCGGGAAATACGAAATCACTAAGATATTATGTTTCTATTTCTGTTATGGTTATTGTTATTATGTTCTCTTGTTTGTTTAAGATTTGTTTGTTGTTCTTAAATTTAGTGTTTTTTAAGTTTGTAGTCATGGTGTTTGTTGAAATGTCTAAAAGAGTTGAGGATGCAGATACTGTGTTTATGATTGAAAATCCAATAATGGTTGTTGCAAATCAGGTTCTCTTTTCCACCCAACAAAGAACTTCTTCACACATGATGAGTTTAACCAACTTCAAGAACCCTTATAATCGAACATTGCGTCACAAAACTAAAGAAATGATCCGTAACTGAATAGATTTAAAGATTGTGGTTCCTCAATTCACCTATGGTATATGGAAGAGTTTTATTTGGTTGCTTAGAGTAAGGAAATGGATTTGTAATGCTCTATTATTTTCTAAATTTTCAAAGGTTTTTGATGTCCAAACACATTGTTTCTCATGTTTGTATCTTATCTATTTTATCTAATGCACAAGGTATTTACTGTCAAAAAAAAAAAAAGAGAAAGCAAAAATCAAATCGCATATCAAATATTTGGAAATCCTCAAATCACGACCTTCTTTTCGAATCGCAAAACCGCATATCCCAAATCACAAATCCGCAAATCCCAAATACCAAATCACAAATCCGTAAGGTGTATGCTTTAACAGATACTAACTCTTTTATCAGATACAAACTCGTTTTTATGTTTATGATATAAACTCTTATTTCTCCACAAATTCAAATGTCAAATGGTGTTACGTAAAGTATCTCCTTGTCGGTTGATTTAACTCTGTTCATGTGAAAGATATTTTGTTAAAGATGAAATGTTCTAACTCTTTAATCTTCTGTTCATGTTATTTATAATATTTTGTGAAAGATGAATGTTTTAATCTTGTTATTTATAACTTTTTCCAGTTCGTGCATTTTTCTAGTAGTGTAGCTAAAGTTAGATACACCAAACTTTATTTGTTGATTTTTACCTCTCCAGATACATGAAAATGAAACCACTTAATCATGTTATTTAGGACACAAAATTGGAATTAAATTGATATATCAAGTGGACCCTCAAGTGGCAGAAATCATGGCTCTTAGGTGGGGAGTTGGAATGGTAAAGGAGCTCTACCTTCATAAAGTTTTGTTTCAATCAGAAGCTTTAACTATTGTGGAATGAATTAATCAGGTCCGGTTGGTGGCCATCATTGACCACCTTGCTGTGGAGTGTATGGATTTGATTTCTTCTTTTAGAGAGGCTGTTGTTATGTTTATTAGTAGAAAATGTAATTCTGATGCTCACCGATTAGTAGGCATAGGAAAAAGACTTGGTTCAAGAACTTGGTTAGGGTGTATCCCTGTGCTAGATGAGGACCTGAATTTGTACTCCCATCCTACTTTTCTTTCTTCTTAATGAAATGGTGTGTTTGTCAACAAAAAAAAAAGTTTGATACATCAAACTTTTATGTTATTTATATTATTTTGTGAAAGATGACTTTTTTTTATTTTAACACTCCAGAAATTCTGAGATTCTATCCAAAATAATAAACTGTTATTTATAATATTTTAATTTTGTTTGTTATTTTTATGTTTTGAAGACATGGAAAGCATTACGGATGGTGTTATATCTCCTCAAATTTAAATGTCAGATGCACAAAATCGATAAGAAATTGAAGTTGTTTCTGTTGTGCAAACAAGAACTGAAGTTGTTGATTTGGTTCATGAACAAGGTCTTGAAACTCCAACACTATCATTATCCCTACTTAGATTGTTTTTAGCTTTTATCAAAGCTATATGCCTATGATATCATAATTTGTTTAAAAGATATTTGTGTCATGTGTTCAATACTTACTTTTCTTGTGTAAATAAATTATTTTTTAAAAATATTTTTGTATATTTATTTTTAATATATTTAGTCAATTCAATGCAAACCAATTTATTATTTTTTAGATTGGTTTAGTTTGGACTTTATAGAAAAAACATTAAAATCTAATCTAAACCAATTCATTTTTTCTCATTGGTTTTGGGTATCAGATTCTCTCGAAATCGAACCAAACTGGTCCGCGAACACCCCTTATACGAACTAGCTCTTTTTTTTTATCAAGGAAGCCTCGACTGAGTGATAAAGGAGGACTCTTTTCTTGATATACACTCAAATTGGAAATATATAGGATGGTGGATCAATTTTAGCTTTGACTGACACTATGTTCCTCAAGGCTTCAATTCTATGAGCTTTTATAGTTTCATATACGAAAGAATGATTAATCCCAAGGCTTTTTATGCTTGCCAACATGGAAAGCACATCGGTCTGAGTGTTATCTTCTCGAGAAACGTGAGAAACTTTAGATGTCTTGAACCTCACCAATTTTTCTTTGGCTAGCCTTAAGTATCGTCGCAGCAATGAGTCTTTGGCGTGAGCCTCCCCCTGATGTGGGAGACTATCAAATGGAAATTCATTTGTAGCTTGATGTTTTCCTCCCCAATCTCCTATACCAGAGTCATCCTTGAAATCACGACTTCATAATTGGCTTGATTGTTAATGTTTGAAAACTCGAATCTCAAATTAACTACCACTACAAGGTCGGCTCTGTTTTCCAGGATGATGTCGACACTACTCCTACGACTATTAGACGATTTGTCCGTGAATATCATCTAGGTATGACATGGCTCCGGTGGGATGAGAGTCATTTCGATTAAGAAATCGGTGAACAATTGGACTTCTAATACCTTCGTTGTTTGAAAATATACTTTGAACTCTAACAACTCGATCAAATATTTTATTAAATACCCGATAAATCTGGCTAATGAAATACATGTTTCAAAGACAAATATGTTTAAACAATTAATAGAGTTCTTCGATGTGATGTCTCTCTCTTATATGGTTAATCACGCATTAGAATAAAAAATATAAAAAAAACATAACATGACGGGGTAAGGAAAACCCTTCCTAATTAAAAGAAAAACAATAAATGTTAATTGAAATTAATTTGGGGACGTCGGCACTAATTTAGGCGATAGTAAAACATGAATTGATATTAATTTGTTTGTTGAGCTTTTCAAAGGGTCTCTTCTCTTCTCCTGATTTAGATTCACTCATTCATCATCATCATCATACTAACACTAATGCGCAACAGCTTCTCAAGATCCAGAACAAACTGAATTGACCGATCGGTGTTGAAGATGATTCAGCTATTATTCACGGTGATTTTTTCCGAAGCAGCGACGATTGCGTTGCTGTTGTTCAAGACTCCGTTGAGGAAGCTCGTGATAATGGGGTTGGATCGGTTGAAGAGAGGGCGTGGACCGCTTATGGTGAAAACGGTTGCGGGGACTCTTGTTGCTGTCTTGTGTTCGAGTGTTTATAGTATGGTTAAACTGCAGAAACGGGAGATCGAAGATGGTGGGGCTGTTAATCCTACCGATCAGGTTCTTATGGCTAAGCATCTCCTCGAAGCAACACTCATGGGTATTCTTTCTTTTTTTTGCTTATGGTTCTTAAGTTTTTTATTCTTATGTTGGAATGCTTTATGGATTCTGATTCAATTTTGTAGTCATGTTATTTGCAATTACTTGCATAATTAATTTATTCAGTTCTTTGCGTTATGTTTGTGGCCTTAAATTTTTGTATGTGTATTTGCTACTGTTACATGTATTACTTTCTCTTATATTTAGAGAAAATAGGAGATGCGATTGGTGGTTTCTTATTGAATGTCGATTAAATTGATAGCATTTCTTTCTTTACACCGACCGTACATGTCCATTAAACTATATTCCCTCCGTTTCAAAATGACTGTCGTATTAGCAAATAAAAACGGAGAGAGTATAACTAAGGTTAAAGAGAATATTTATTAAGCATTGAATTTGACATGGACACTAGACATGACACAAATACAACTACATTGAAGCTAAGAAAAAGCAGTTTTTTGGGCTCATTTGTTTGAATTGTTGTATAGATGTTGTACACCGATGTGTCTCGAGAGTAGAGTGACGTGCAATCAAAGATTATTTGTGCTTCATAGATTGTCTCGGAGGCTTCATTGATTGTTTGGATAATTCCTTATTGGGTTATTCTTTGAATGTATGTGTTGCTTTTTGCTGCTGATTTCTTCGGTGTTTAGAATGAATGTTGAGGAAGTATATGTGAGATATTTGAATTTCTAAACTAGATGAGAAATGTGAGCTTTAGAAAATCTTCTTTTACTTGCTTATGGTATTGGTTATTGATAACTTATTAGTTGCATTGGCAGGGAGATTTAGTTTTACACCAGATGTATTATAGGATTTTTCAATAAAGAGAGTAGGAAGATCTAGAAAATTTTTAAGATAAGTTATTAGAAAGGTCTTGAGGTTGACGATTTAGATAGAAGTATGGTCATGGATAAAACATTATGGCAGAAATTGATCAATGTAGTCGACGCCACTTATTGAGATAAGCCTTGATTGTTGTTGTTGTTGTTGTGCTCTTTGATTTTTCAATACCTCGGTTACATTTTAAAAAACATAGCTGAGGAGGTAAAATTATAGTTCTAATCTTGACATAAACGATACTGTTGAGTTGCTGAACTGATTTTTTCCTTGATATTTAGGATTTAATTAACGGCTTTCTCTGTGGCATGTGAGCATTATTCATTCTTGGTCAATTATTTGCAGGTTCTGTCCTTTTTCTTGCACTCATGATAGACAGACTACATCATTACATAAGAGAACTCCGGATTCGAAGAAAGAGCATGGAAGCTGTTAAAAAACAAATGCGAGGGTCTGAGGATGCGAAGAACACAACTTCTGAGGAAACTAAAACAATGGAGGAAGAAGCATCTAAGTTGAGAGCGGAAGTTGATCGCCTGGAATCTGAACTGCACTCCAAAAATAAAGGGGTCGGGGCTGCAGAAGCCAGTATAAGTGCTCTGAGAAAACAATCTGAAGGGTTCCTTCTTGAATATGACCGCTTACTTGAGGAGAATGAGAACCTCCGCAACCAACTCAAATCCGTTGACCAAAGATTCTCACGTTCAAATTCCAAAAAGAATATGTGAGAAACATTTAAGGCGGCTTCTTTTCTTCTATACTTTTCGGGATTTCCATGGCAGTTTGCTGGTAACAGTTTATTAATCTTTTTAAACGTGCTTCTCAAGAAATAGGAGGAGTTTCACTTCAGAGTTGAATATGGACCAATTTTGTCCTAACAAAAGTGTGAGTTTCTTTTTGAGTGATGACAGAAATATAGTGCTGATTTGTTTTTTCTGCACATATGTAACTTTTACAGCTTCTGATCCTTCAATATGAAGGGATGCCCTGAAATAGTGCTTGATATCTCCTGGAACTTAATTTTATTTAGATTTATCATTTTTTTCTATTTAAGCCATGTCTTTCTTGTGCTAGAGAGTGTTCCATTCTTGACTGTTCACTTTTCTCTTGGTTCATTTTTTCTATTTAAGCTATGTCTTTCTATGGAATTTAAGAATTCTATTAGCTACTGGATTTTGGATTTGTGCCTTAAACTAATAAATCAGCCAAGTAGAATTTTGGGTTACAAAGTGCTTATCTGGAAAATCAAGAGAAACATAAACTATATTATTGATATAAAATATTACAGATGGAAAAACCGTTGTAACTCCAAAGTAGAAGATTCTCAAAGGGGGAATGCTCTTTCCGTAAAATGGGTGTTTCCACACTACTGTAAAAAGTCCATAATGTCCCTAGCGTCAAAAGATACATTTTCAGATGCATTTATTTTCAAAAATTCTCAAATCAAATTGAAGAGACACTTCTTTTACATTAAAATTAAATTCGGATATAGATCTCTGTAAGTGACTTGGTTGATTCATAAATACATCTTTAAATGTAGGGACGTTTTTCGGATTTTTAAGGATGTGGTACCCTTATATAAGGGTCTAATGAACAATTCCCTTCTGAAAGACGAGTCATCCTTCTCAAAGACGAGTCATTAAGAAGCCCCAAAAGATTAAGATCCGTTATGATACCAGCCCAGCCATTGTAGGATCCTACACGTTACTATATTGCATGTAATGCACTTAGTTTGTTGTATGAATAACACTAGACTTATAGAATATGGTTTTCTAAGCTTTCTTTCTCCTATTAATAGAAGTTCTTATTGTACTTTCAAATTCTAGAAGAAATTGTTGTAATTGACTAGAGTTTGTATAGTTGGTAGGAGATCTGTTATGCTGCGTTGCCTATATTGGTAAAAAAAACTGGATTTTTGAGTGAGAAAAAGTCAAATCTTGAAACCTATTTTAAGTCATAATTCATCCAAACAAACATTGTGGTTGTGTTCAAGAGGTCCGTAAATCTCTTAACAAATTTTTTTTTACAAGATATGTTGTCACCGAATGCTATTTATTCAAAAACGCGTTAGAATTCCTTCTCACTTCTCACTCCTCACTTCTAAAAAATATAACTCTAAACTTCTTCATTTTCTCAATCTCTCTCAAACTACATTCAATCAACTTGAAGCAACTTCAAAACACCACCCATCAACATTAAGTTCAATCAACCAACTTTAAACAACTATTTATAAGTTATTGATTTTTGTAAACTTTATTGAGTTTTTTTATAAATTTGTAGAAAATGACTATAATGTTGAGAAATAGATAGATTGTACATGTTTGATAGCTTATACATAATGTGAAATGAGTTTGATAGATAGTTTTGATGATCAATGTATTATTTTTGATGATTTGGTGGTCCGCATTTCGCCATTGACGTTGGTGAGAGTTTTTGCAAAAAATTTTGAAGATGCATCTCTAAAACTTTCCAACATTTAGATTCTAAAAAATCGGAGATGCATCTTTGTAGTGTATCAATCTATATTTTTTTGCCTTTTTTGAATTGAACCCATTGTGTAATTCTTGTGGTGTGGTTTATTTACATGAATTATGGATGATAAACAAGACCGATTGAGACACGGAAGGATTGCACAACATGCATATGTTCAAAGGGAAAAGATTCAATCATCGCAGGGTCATGTTACCTCTATCCCGATTGATGCGGAGGCGTCGGCTTATGGGGATCTTGTATCCTTGCCTTCTTCTTCCTCTTCCCTTAAAAGACGAGTATCTCCTCTTCATGCATCTTTATCTTCATCTTCCCGTAGACGATATACTTCACCTATTCAGGCACCCGAGGAAGTAGAGGTACCCGAGTCACCGAAGGTACCTCAGACACTAGAGGAACCTGAGGCACTCCAGTCCCATAAGACATTAGCAACACATGAGGCACTCCAGACTCAGGAGGACATAGATGTACCTCAGGGGTTTGGTGGAGGCCCGTCAAATTTATCACTGATGTCTCTTTATCCGTACCTTATTGTTAGACATGTCTGGGACAGAGAGGTAAAATTTAGTTGAATTCGTTCTTTTTAAATTATGTTTGTTGTAATATTAAATTATGTTTGTTGGATTTATTTTTATTAAATTATGTCTGTAGGACCATGATCCGCTAAAAATAATCAACCATGGGCGGAAGATTATTGGCATGCATCAACCTAATGAGCAGTGGTTTCAGGAAGTTTTGCAACTATTTGGGAAGCGAGACTTGTGCAGGATTGATTATGCTACGGTTAACCATGGTATACTTAATGTATTTATAGAGAGATGGCATACGAAGACATTACCATTTCTCTACAACATGGTGAGATGTCTATCAAACTGGATAATGTCTTGTGTCTGATGCATCTTCTGATTAAGGGGAGACTTTTAGATCATGAGAAGATTAACAGAAACGAGGCACTGGAGTTGATAGTAGACTATCCAGGAGTTGACTGAGAGGCTGTCATGGCGGAGTTTGTAGCCACCTGAGGGTCTCATTCTAGGTTTCACTTTTTGAAGAATGTGTATACATATGAGATATTAAGAGCACAACAAGTTGTTGGTGATAACGAGCAAGTAGCGCAATATAGTGAAGGTGTGAAGAAAACGTAAAAAAGGGGGCGTTTGAATTGGGTTTTCCTTTCTTGTAAAACTTTTGCTTCTAAGCATTATTCGTTGAACAATGTTTCTGATTGTTGCTTCTAATTAATACTTCTAATTTGGTTCAGAAAACATAAACTCTAAAGTATAAGCAAAAGTAAAGAACACGTGATATATCCTGGCTCACTTGAGAAACTCCCAAGTTAATCTAGTCCATCCTTCCGAGGTGATTTCGCCTTCAACTCAAGGACTTAATCCACTATAATCAATTTGATTACAATCGCATGGGCAACCGCCAATGACTAACATCCAATGAAACATTCAGGGATCCAAACTGAATATAACATTCATTGACCCAACATAATCCAATTCTCCAGAATCTCCTATCAGGATTTCCTTCCAATGATATCCATCAGTGATCTCAGAAGGTTAACCTTCACTCAGTCCCCTTTGAGATATGACTACCATTGACTTAATAGAATCTACTACCAGGATTTCATCTACGATGGCTGCAATCAAAGTCTTCTTAAGTCTTCTGATCTTCACTCGATCACTTGAGGTGCCAACCAATTCTAAACAGAATGGTTTTTTTGGAGATTATATGAGTGCTTCTTATCAAGCAAATTACTTCTAATTTAAGTACATATTGTTTGACACAATTCTGAGCAAAAACTCTTGTGTATAAACAATTTACATGAAGATCTTAAGAAATAACACAACCTGAGCAACAACTCTTGTGTTTTTACGTATTTCTACAAAGATGAATCTAATAAAAAATAAGTGCAACATCTTGTAGTCTTCTTGTCTTCATCTTCTTTGTTAAGCAAGCTATGAGCAACAACTCCTTACTTCTTCATAATTATGTCAAGATGTATATGATTGATGATTTGAATTACATCTTGAATAATTCTTGATCTTTATCTTCTTTCTTCATTAAGCAAGATACGAGCAACAACTCCTTTCTTCCTCAGGATTCTTCCAAGATGTATATGATTGGTAAATTGAATAACATCTTCCAGAATTCTTCATAATATTATAGTGGACGATTGCTTTGATTTGGTTATATTTTAATAGTGATAGCTTTTCTTTCTAACTTGAACATCAACAACTTGTGATTTACAACTTGTAGCTTTTAGCACCCAGCCAAGCATCATATGGCAAGCTCATCAATATTCAACATCATATATTGAGCAACAACTAACCAACCAACAATTTTAAACATACAATTATTTTCTTATATAACCAAGCAAAATAGAGTCGTTGGCTATTTGAAAAAGAGTTGTTACAAATAGTACTGCGACGTCCTTATCTCTTCCACACTTTAAGTTAGTGGAGAGGTAGTGGCATAAATCTTTTTGTACTTTGTATTATAGTACTGTGTTACCGTTATATTATTTCCTTCTATACTTCAGAGGCTTCTACGAGCATGAGATTAGAAGCGGTAACATAATGTAACGCCCGTAATTTAATTAATTATTTAATTAAATTATTTTTGGAATATTTGCAAAGTTGTGTTATGATGATATTTGATGTGTGGTGGTTATTGGATTTATTTATTCTATTAAGTTGTGGAATAATATTAGAATAATAATATTATTTAATGTGAGCATGTTTTAAGGATAAAAGTAGTAGAAAAAGGGGGTGTAGGATTCTTAAGCACATTAAGGCATTTTGAGAATTATAGGGTTATTTTATTATTGTTAGAAATAATAAGAGAAGAAGAAGCAGTAAGAGAGAAAGAAATAAGGGTTGGAAGAAGAGAAAGAGAACGTGAAAGTTGCAGAAAAGGAGGAAAAGAGGCAAAACAAAATCCAATCGGAAAAGTTATAGAGCAACCTTCAATCCAAGGTAAGAGTGGGGTTCTGACTCTATAATAGGGTTTATGATGAGTAGTATGTGGGATTGGATTTGAAAAGCTGTTTTGTTTATAATTGAAATGTATATATTATTGTACGATGAAGATCAATGATTTAGAGATGAGTAATGATGCCCTAAAGCTGTATAATTGATTTAGAAACATAGGATTATTATAATTGGTGATTACCTATGACTAGAGGATGTTTTTAGGGCCTAAGGCAGGGAAACCATAGTGAAAATGCAGTGAAATCGCAGAAAATATTCCTGACAGAACAATATGTGTCGATCCTAAAAGCCACGCGTCGATGCATGAAGGTTTTTAGACTCAGGATGAGTCGATACGAAGAAGCCATGCGTCGATACATGCAGGCTTTTAGACTCAGGATGAGTCGATACGTAGGAGCATGTGTCGATACATGCAATGTTGCAGACTTAATATGAGTCGATACGAAGGGAGTACGCATCGATACATGCAGCGTGTTAAGCCCAATACGCGTCGACTCAAGACGTTATGCGTCGACCCATGTAGTCTGGTTTTTGGCAGATTCGTTTTCCAGAGGCTGTAACTTGAGTTTCTGGACTCCGTTTGAGGTGTCGTTCGAAGTGTTGGATAGCTAACGTGATGAACTTCATTCTTAAGGATTAAAATGAAGAATAGGAAGGATAATCCTAGTAACCAAATTTAGGACTAGAGTTAGCTTCCCGCGTTAATCGCTATAACAATTTTGTGAAGAATGATGAGGATGAGATGATTATAGATTACTGTTTGGTTCATAACAGTAAGATTAATGATGATAATGATGTAGTATTAC